CCCCAAAACCCCAAAACCCCAAAACCCCAAAACCCCAAAACCCCATGTTCATAAGTTTAAATTGAATATTTCAAATTACTCAGGGGGCTAATGGAGGACCTAACCTTACATTCTGCCTTCACTGTTAGATTTGATCCAGCGAGGTTATGTGATCTAAGTAACGCTGCGCTACCCTCAAACTTTGCTGGCTTGGATATATTTGATTTAGGTGTTTTCTGCTTCAGAAAAGAACTAGAATGTTAACGAATAAATTACTTTAAGCCGGTATACTCAGATTTTCAAAAATATGAATTTGAGTAAGAGGCCGTATCAAAAACTCCATTCTTCTTCTCAAGAAACACATCTAAGTTTTTGTATTTATCATTATTTGAATTGTATTTTGATCAAGAACCTCCATAATTACTCTGAAGGAGTATCTTTGAAAGATCTTCATCCTGCACAAACCCTGAAGTATTTTTCTTCACTTCTGAAACACTGACTGATTCAGGTCTGGAAATCGACTTTTTATTCAAAAATCTTTTCCTTTTACTTCATGCCAAACTCTTTTTATGGGATCATAAGGGTAGATTCTTGCTTATTTCATGCTTTCTATTCGTACTTTTGATGTTTTTAGATCATCTTCAGTTTGCCACATTGGGAGCACTTTTAACTTTCATTGGAATTTCTTTTGAAAATGGTATGCTTTTACTTTTATCAGTAAATGATTGATGAGTGGGCTCACCATCACGATCTATTAAAAGTAAGTTCCAGTTCCACTGAAAGTTTAATGACACTTACACTTATTTAGTGATTTTCTCAATTTGGAGATCGAACTCTAGCTTTCTTATCCTTTTATTTTGCTGTCTAATTATATCCGCTGCATATCATTTTTATCATAAAGCTCCAATTTTTGAAGAGTACTGTGGCAAGTTTCATAACTTTTTGTATCATATAATTCCATTCTTAATATTAAATTTTAAATAATTCAATTATTCAATTTTCTTTATTGTTTCGGGGTTTTGGGGTTTTGGGGTTTTGGGGTTTTGGGGTTTTGGGG